GGCCTTTGTGGAAACAGATTACAATTTAGCATGAAAGTGCATATTCTGAGCCCTACTGAACAATCCATTTGGGACCCGCACAGACCTAGATGGGGACTCCTCCAACTTGAGCCTTTCCAGGAATGTGAGTGTGGGCAGGCCGCCAGTGGACACTGGCTACCCAGACACTTCAGCAATGTTCCATGTGCGCTAGCTGCCATGGATATCAAAGTCCAGCTGTTCTCGCCAATCTCCTCTGTCCCCTTTATCTCCTCAGCCTTCAACATACACACAGACACATTCGTATGTACCTCACACACACGCATGGTGGGAGTGATGATCATCCAGTGTTTACTGCTGTTTTATACATCCTGCAAATTGTGATTGAAAACTCTCAAGTTCAATGAGAAAAGGAAATCTAGGAGTCGGGAATGACTTACAATCCAGCAAAGTAAACGTGTAAATAATAAATGTTAAACAAAGCCACACCTAGGGATGCAAGCAGGATGGAAATGTGACTCTAGGATAGCAAGTGAAAATGAATTAACTTCATCCTCTACCTCATTCCTTTGGGCGGTCCTTTTGCCCTCTTCACTTTGCCCAAACAGTCCCCGTTCTATCCTCGTGGTTGTAATTGAAATTATATTTAAAATATTAGGCCAAAGCTTACAACTCCATTGGAAGCACCTAAGTAAAAAGGGGCTGATTTTTGCTTCAGTGGATGCCTGGCATTTCTGAGGATCCTGTCGCTTGTCTATACGATCAGAGTTAGAAGAGTAGCTTTTAAGTAGCCAGGTTTGAGAATTTTGGCCAATATTTACATTTCACTTGAAATCTCCTTTCTATTATTATTTTGTTGTTTCCCTCTGTTAGCTTGTTTGTTCTCCATTCTCCAGAACCTGGACATTATGGGAAGCCCTTTTGTTGCCACTGCTTAAGAGCAGAATTGTATGAAATATTTGCAAAAAAGCAAAACAAAACCACGCTACCATGTGAAATTCACCAGGTTTCAGATCTTATTACAAAGTCAATACCAGGTTGATCACAAAAAGGTTTGCTAAGACTCCGGGACCTTTTAAATGACTTTGGGCTCATTTATGATTTTTCCCTCATAATCAGAAATCCATAATTTTGAATAAATTCATTGCAAAAGCTCTTGATAATTGGCTGTTTTGATTGAATTTCATTTTGCGCATCAGGGGTTTACTCAAACCCAAAACTCAGGTGTACAAACCTACGTAGGGGGAAGCATAACAAAAACTTTCCACAGAGTCCTGCAAAGTGAAACTACACTGAGGTATTTGTAACACTGCCTACAACAAATTCAAGGTGGCAAATCTGAAACTTCCTCAAAGTTCTGGAACTCTAGATCTGGGGTTTGGTTCAGCCTATTATACCCAGAGGGCCCAACCACTTCTCTTCCATATACAAGCTTCCCCAAATTGGAGTAGATTTAGACCTGAAGTTTTGATTTAGTCTGTTGCACACAAAAGTGCCAGTTGTCAGTTTCAGATTTGAATCCAAACTTTACCTTTAATTCAGTGTATTTGGAGCTCGGGGGTTGGTTCAGGCCCATCTTGAGAACAGATCAAAGGACAGGCTAATCCTGTCAACTACCCGGGTTCTGTCTGAGGTGGCTGTAAAAATTGAAGCAATACAAATGGATGTGTAAAACAGGTTCCACCCAGCGCCTCGATGCAGCTTCCTGAGTCAGGGAGAGCTTTTGCTTTACGTGCCAAAGTTTGATGCCCAGGATAGAACACTACAGTGAGCTAAAGTTAACTAACAGTGACTGCGCAAATGTAGCATGGCAATTTTATTTTTAGTTAAACTTAAAAATAAAAATCGATAAGTCAAATGTAATAGAATAATTTTAGCTGTTGCCAAAACAGACGAAGCAACTGTTATGAATAACGATAACAACAGTACAAATAAAGGGGCTGTTGATTCTTGCCTGTCCTTATCTAGCTAAAATTCCTACTGAGTCACAGTAGTAACAGATTTCCCTGGCTCACTGGCAAGTCCTTATAGCTGGGCATATCAACTGGTATTGTGCGTGGAACCGTTTCTGAAAAGGCACTCTCAAGAAATTATTTTTTTAAGCTTTGCATATGCTTTAATATAGTCACTTAAAAGCCATTTTTTTCTTCTTTAAATTTTGTCCCTTTCTGCCTAACATCATCATCATCATACTTGGCACTTGTATAGGAAAACAGCTCAGGGTCTTAAAGAGTATTTAAAGAGATTTCAAGAATTAACAAAGCCTCTCAGGACTGTTGTACTATACCTGTTTTACAGATGGACAAATTGAGAGAGAGAATTTTTAAGTGAGTCATCCACAATCTGGCAGCAAATTAGTGTCAGCGCTCAGGTTGGAATAAAACCCAGGAGGCCTGACTTCTGTCCCCTGCTGTGGGCATTAGAGACCACGCTGTCCCTCGCAGCAGTATTTTTGCCTGGATTTGGCAGAGAACTGAAGCTAATATAGCTGCTTTTGTTTAAGAACTCTAAAACCTACAAATAACTTGTCTACCTGCCAATGTCAGCTTAATTCTGTCTAGCAGTAATTATTGCTATAAAAGCAGCAATGGAGAAGCACAACAGATAGTATTTGTGTAGGGGCTATGCAACTAGTGGTGGTTGTTTATTTTGGATATAAAATGTTCAGAAATGGAATAATCAACTTAAAAAGGAGACTGCCCCGGACCGTAGCATACTTAAAGGTTTTCCCCATAAGATTATAATATCCTGAAGGCAGCTCAAATTTGGGCACATAAATCCAAATGATGGCCTTAAAGCGAGATTTAATCTCAGTCTGCCATGTCTCCAAAATATTATGCAAGAGTTATACAGCAGGTTTATTGTTCCATGCTTTGTACTAGAACCAAAGCAATGAAGGCAGAGGATATAAAAGAAATATTATTTGCTGTAAGATAAGAAAACTATTATTGATACAGTGTTCACATTTAATGTCTGTTACATCATCAGTTTCCACTAAGCGATCCTCTGACTTTGTGTGTGTCTCTCTCTCATAAGAAATGCGATTCTTGTTAAAAGTTCTGAGCTTGAGGCATAAGATTTCTGAACGCCCACCCTTGCATATCTTTAAAAAAACAACTTAGCAGTACAGATGCCAAGCAATGGCTGGAAGGGCGTGAGAAGAGTTTCATTTTCTGTAAAGTTTTAATTATAAAACAAAGCAAAGCAGGAGTTCATGATAGCTGGGGGGAAATACTGTGACTATAAAAAAAAAGTCAGGGATTAAACTGGTGTGACGTTATTTTCTTTAGAGAGACAAGGTGGGTGAGGTAATATCTTTTATTGGACCAACTATTGTTTGTGAGAGAAACAAGCTTTCGAGCCACACAGAGCTCTTCTTCAGGTCTGGGGAAGGAACATCAAGTCTCACAGCGAGGAGTGGAACAGATTGTTTAGCATAAGTAGTTAGCACATATTGTACGGGACCAGTCAAAATAGAGTGGGCCGTTAACACCTCTGCAGTCACCGGACAAAAAGGGGGTTAGTGGGTTACAGATTGTTTTAATACGCCATAAATCCAGTGTCTCTGTTCAATCTATGATTTTTAGTGTCTAGCAGAATAATGAATTATTGAGTATTTTCTTTACCACGTAATGAAAGAATTAGAGAGACTTTGTTCCCTATATCAAGGATGGCAAAAATAATCTTCTAGCTAGGGCAGAGGGAAGAGATGACATTTTGCTCAAACCCTATATAAAATCACGAGCCTTTGGGTTTCTGTGATCTCTGCTCTAAAGATGCAAATCAAAACCCCACACCCTGCAACTTTGGTGAGTTCAGATTGGCATCCAGGTTTGCTGGTGGCCTCCATTCTATCTTAACAGGAAGGGACAGACTGATACATCTCTGAACTCTGGGAACATTCAGACCCGAATTCTGATCTGAACTTTGCCGCTCTGCTTCTTGGCTATGAAATCCTCAACTCAAGCTGTGGCCTCCTAGGAAGAATATTTAATCTGCTTCTTGTTAGAGAGCAATTCCCATTGACTTTGTAAATGCTCTGTCCCTGCACTAGTGGAAATCTGTTTGTTACATACAACAGCTGTGCCTCATAGTTCATTGGTTGCTAGGAAACAAGGGAATATGATCTAGTAGGAGCTATGTCTAGGGTCATCATCATGGTGTATAGTTTTAAACGCGTTGGTACAGTTTAACCTGTGCAGGCAGATATGCAGCAACCAATCATTTTTCCAGAGTAAAGATCTACATGGTCACTTTCCTCTGAGTGGCCAATAGCAGAGGGGGCTCAAAAAGCACCAGAAACCTCATGAGAAATCTGGCTCCCAGCCATCTTTGGCTTTATGCTACTGCTGTAAATAAATGGCTTGACTGAGGTTTAATGCCAGACTAGTAGATGAAGGGCACTTGTATCTCATTGTAATGAGCTGTGGCATGAGGGGAGAGAAAAAAGGTAACTGCTGTGTTTGCTGTGTAGACCAAAGCGAAATGAAGTCACTGTCGGTGACTCAGAGGCATAAGAGTTCAGAAGTAATACACCTTACTTATACACTGCTAACAGCTACTTGTTGCTAATGTAAATATTTTCCATGTGAGTTCTTCAGATCTCCCTGTCATATAGCACGTGAGATAATGCAGTGATCCTATGCTGTACAACACACTCTGGTGGATCATACAATCGTTTGTGGGGGTTGGAGGGTGAGAGAAGAGAATGAAATATATATTTTGAAAACACAGGGCTTTTTCACAGAAGAAGAAAGAAGGAGCCTCCGGGTGTTAAGAAATAAGTTACCACTGTTAACTGTTGAAAATTATGTACTTTGAGTTTTGATTTGTCTAATGTCTTAATCATTTTCATGATGTGTTAATTGATATGTCCAGTGTTTAGCTGCTTTTACAGTATAGCAATAAACGGATCCTTGGAGTGCATGCAGCACTAAAGGTCTGGTCTTAATTTTGTAGAGCGTTTTTTTTCTCCCAGTGCTAATACCTTGATTTCCCTTTCCCCCTCTTTCTCGTTCCAGAATCCAGAGCAGCTGCTGGAGCATTGTGCTCACAGGGAGATGATTCCTCATGAAGTCACTGGATCCCCTTCAGAAATCAAATGTGACTTTCCATTTATCAGACTGAAATCAGAACCAGCCAGACAGTGAAGCAAGAACAGTGGAGGGGGGACGGCGAAAGATGAAATCCAACCAAGAGAGGAGCAATGAATGCCTGCCGCCCAAAAAGCGAGAAATCCCCACCACCAGCCTGCCCTCCGAGGTGAAGCCAGTGGTCCTGCCAAACGAAAACCACCGCACGGACAACTTAACATGGCTCTCCAGTATGCCCAGCAGCCAGAGCAGCATGGGTGGAAGGCACCGGACTGGAGGGAGTTCAGTGGAGATTGGCTTGCAGCAGGGTTTACACAAAGCACCGTCTACAGGAATGGACTATTCCCCACCGAGTGCTCCCAGGTCCGTTCCAGTCTCAACAACACTTCCCACAGTGTACTCGCCCGCACTCTCACAGTCAGGGACGCCTGTATCCCCGGTGCAGTACACGCACCTGCAGCACACTTTCCAGTTCGTTGGGCCCCAGTACAGTGGACCATACGCCGGATTCATCCCCTCCCAGTTGATTTCCCCGACAGCCAATTCCGCAACTTGTGCGGCAGCCTCTGCCACTGCTGTTGCAACCACTCCATCCCAGCGTTCCCAGCTGGAGGCTTATTCCACTTTCCTGGCCAGCATGAGCAGCTTAAGTCAGCAGGGGCACAAAGTTGAGCAGCATCTAGTCAGGACACCTGGATTGATTGCAGCAGGGTCTCCTCCACCGACCCAGCAAAACCAGTATGTCCACATTTCCAGCTCTCCCCAGAGCACAGTCAGAAATGTCTCTCCTCCGACCATCCCAGTCCATTTGCATCCCCACCAAACGGCGATTCCACACACCCTCACCCTCGGCCCCTCCTCCCAAGTGGTGGTGCAGTACTCGGACTCCGGGGGCCACTTTGTCACGAGGGATTCTACCAAGAAAGCTGAGAGCAGCAGGCTGCAGGCAATGCAGGCGAAGGAAATACTGAATGGAGAGATCGAGAAAAGCAGGAGGTACGGCCTGTCGCCCTCTGGAGATGTGAGTCTAGTCAAAGCAGGCAATAAACCAGCTCCTCATCATTATGAGACCAGACATGTGGTGGTGCACTCGAGTCCTGCTGAGTACAGTGCACGGGATTCCTCAGGCATCAGGGCCTCTGTTATGGTTGTACCGAACAGCAGCACACCTATTACGGAGATGGAGGTACAGCAGGCCACCAACAGAGAAACTCCTCCCTCAGTCCTCAACGACAAGGGAAACCTGCATTTAGGAAAGCCAGCCCACAGGTCTTATGCTTTATCTCCGCAACAGACTATGGGCCACGAGGGGGTGAAAGCGGTCGCCACGCTGTCCCCCCACACTGTCATTCAGACAACCCACAGCGCCTCAGAGCAACTCCCTGTCGGGCTGCCTGCGACAGCCTTCTATGCCGGGACCCAGCCACCGGTAATTGGCTATCTGAGCAGTCAGCAGCAAGCGATTGGTTACCCTGGAAACCTGCCACAGCACCTGGTGATCCCTGGCACCCAGCCCCTGCTTATACCAGTTGGCAATGCAGATGTTGAATCATCAGGAGTAGCACCTGCTATAGTCACTTCATCTCCCCAGTTTGCAGCAGTGCCTCATACATTTGTCACTACCACCATTCCTAAGAGTGAGAATTTCAGTGCTGAGTCGCTAGCAACCCAGCCGGCCTACCAGGCAGCCGTGGTGCAGGCCCAGATCCACCTCCCGGTGGTGCAGTCCGTAGCTTCTCCAGCAGCAGCTCCTCCTACACTGCCTCCTTACTTCATGAAAGGGTCAATCATTCAGTTGGCCAATGGGGAGCTGAAGAAAGTAGAGGACTTAAAAACGGAAGACTTTATACAGAGTGCAGAAATTAGCAATGACCTGAAAATAGACTCCAGCACAGTGGAGAGGATTGAAGACAGCCATAACCCAGGCATTGCTGTCATACAGTTTGCAGTTGGAGAGCATCGAGCACAGGTAATGAGCATTGCAAATTGTGGGCGTAGGTGGAAAGATACCAATTCTATCTTCCTGGAAACAACTTACCTTATGGTGCCTTCCAAGAGGGAGTTGTGTTCTTAGTTCTTCATCTGGCACACACCTAACAGCTCATGCCACGTTAGAGATTTCACTGGCCCAAAGTCACCCCTTGTACGGTGCCAGTGAAGTCATACCAGTAATACATCAGGCCCATTTTATGCAATGGTAGATCTTGTTTTGGGAAACTACAGGACCTGATTCTCCTCTCACTACCAGTTTAAACTCAGTTTAAGTCAGTGAAGTTACACCAGAGTAACGCTGGGGAAAGAGGAGAATCATCTTATGGTTTGACTATGCTTGGGGGAAGGAATCATTTGTGTACTTGTTTCAAATTGTTAGCTCAACAACCCAGATCATATTGCAGATCTGTAGGCATTAGTACTATTACTTCTTTGTATTAGGATAATGCCAGATGGTCCCAACCAACATTCAGAGCTGCACTGCACATAGTAAAAGAATGGTCCCCGGTCTGAATAGTGTGCAATCTAAATAGACAGGACAGACAAAAGGCGGCAGGGGAAGCAGAAGCACAGAAGGGATTTGCCCAAGGTCACAAAGCAGATCAGTGCCAGATGCAGGAATAGAATCCATGTCTCTGAGTGTCTAGTCCATTGCCCTATGCACTGGGACTGTAGGCAGTGATATTATTGGAAACAGGCCCCATTGTACTTTCTAACCAAAGAAAGGATCAAATCTGAGCCATGATCCTAGTGGTATTAAAAGGTAAAATTACTCAGTTTAAACCTCAAAAAGCATATGCTTTTCAATCTGACAGCTGAGTTTTAGTTTTGACTGATTCCTGCTTCAGAAGGCTCCAGTACCGTTCAGTCTCAAATGAAAAACTGTCTCTGAGGGGTAAAGAGGGGACAAGGCTGTGAATTTCCATGGCTTGAAACTTGGAGCTTTCTTGGAATGCTTTCGCTCACACATTGAAGGCACTGAAACGCTACACAGAGTGTCATTCAGATTTTGGTTATGAGTGGTTTAAGTGCTGCAGAGCTCTCATGCTGTGTGTGTTCAAGGGAAATGTTAAAAGCAAAATCATCCCAGAACCTAGGCTACCCACACTTTTTCACTTTGCGTCATACTGGCTTGCATTGTAAAGAAGGAAATTGTAACTTTGCAAAGGGCCTTTCGGACCCAGAGTTCAATGGTCATAAGCCGTTAATTTGATACTGTCCACTATCCAAGTAGCTCAGATTCCACAGTGATGAGCCAGGGAATAGATTAGATCAATTAGATAGCAGTTTAGTTCAGGGAAGTATTTGGGTTATTTTTTGAAAAGCAAAACAAATCTCAGTGTAAGTGGTTTAGATTTGGTTTTAAATATTTCTCTGCGGTGTTCAGAACCCAGACGCTGCACAATGGTGGCTGGTCCGTGAGCATCACAAAGAGAGATGGACCAGAAACTAACTAGTTTAGTACAAGTATCAGGGGGTAGCCGTGTTAGTCTGTATCTACAAAAACAACAAGGAGTCTGGTGGCACCTTAAAGACTAACAGAGCTATTTCGGTGTAAATTCCGTGTCGGAGAAACTTCTCTTGTTT